GATTTTTTTGGAGTTGGATCGCGTAAATAAAAATGTGTCGTGAAACCCGCCACCACCCGACACAGCCAATTAGTAAGGTATTGTCACGTAAACAAACATGCCAATTAGTTACTAGTTCAGCACACCGGTTGTGTGTTGGAGAGTAAACCCCACAACATTTACAATTCGAGTACTGTGACGTTTCGCTGGTGATTACAACCAGCCTCATGGGGCAACAGCCAGAGTTATGAAGACATCCTCCTCCTCCTGTTTCGGTCTTAAATATTTCGTTTCATTGTCGGACTAATGAATGTGGGATCAGCAGCATCGGGAGATGACAAAACCATGAGAGACTCTGCGCACGCGACGCCACGTTACGACAGCACAATAAGGCGGTGGCTACGAGAGGGAGTACAGCAAGTAGGGTTCACAGAGGTTAACTGGCTCGTAAGTTTTTACGCGCTCATACGTGTGGAGCTTTTTTTTCTTCTGCGTTTCCTTTGACACAAAATGTAAAATATATAAGTAAGGGCAGTCCTCGACTTACAAACACAATTCGTTCCTGAGACCCGTTCGTAAGTCGAACCGTGCATAAGTCGGAACACACAGTAATCTACTATATTTCAATGCCTACACACACAAACACTCACTTCCAGCACGAGGCTTACTCATTTACATCTTGCAGAGGATTGCTTTTTGAACAAATTAGTGCTACGGTTCCATTCGTGTTTTAAGGAAAGGTAAGAAAAACAAATATTTCATGGAAATTAAGTGTGGGTGTTCATAAGTCGGGTGTTCGTCAGTCGAGGACGGACTGTGCTATGAAAAGGAACTGGTCAAACATCTGGTAGCAGGACCCTCCAGAAAATCCATCTTGCGACTCACCGAGGCTTCCCTGGGTAAATATTCTATTATGCATCATTCCCATCATCTGTCCATCAAACTATTGAAGTTTGCGGACGACACCACCCTCATTGGGCTGATGTCTGGTGAGGATGAGTCTGACTATAGGTGGGAAGCTGACAACCTGGTGACCTGGTGTAGCCAGAACAACTTAGAGCTAAATGCTCTAAAGACAGTTGAGATGGTTGTGGACTTCAGGAAGAATACAGCCCCACTCACCCCCATCACCCTGTGCGACTTCCCAGTCAAAACTGTGGAGTCCTTCCGCATCCTGGGCACTATTCTCTCCCGGGACCTCAAGTGGGAACTGAACATCAGCTCCCTCACCAAGAGAGCTTAACAGAGGATGTACTTCCTACGGCAGCTGAAGAATTCAGCAGACTGCAGCGTATCATCCACACTACTGAGAAGGTGATTGCCTGCAATCTACCAACCCTCGAGGACCTGCAAACCTCGAGGACTATGAGGCGAGCGAGGAAGATTCTGGCCGATTCCTCCCATCCTGGACACTCTCTGTTCCAGCTACTCCCCTCCGGCAGAAGGCTGCGGTCCATCAGGACCAAAACCTCACGCCACAAAAACAGTTTCTTCCCATCCGCTGCTGGCCTGTTAAACAAGGCCAAGGGCTTACACTGACTTTAACATTTTTTCTACAAAATGACACCTTGCCATATTTACACTATGTTACCCTATTTGTATTTTTTGTATTTTTAGATTGTATCTTATAGCTACTTTATATTAAGATTTAAGATTCCTATTGAATGTATGCACCTTCCTGCCAAAGTAAATTCCTTGTCTGTGCGAACTTTCATGGCGAATAAAACCCTTTCTGATTCTGATTCCCTGGGTCCGATCAAATGAGCATCACTCGATGGTATAACACAACAGTGGAATGTCTTATAGACTGGCCCCGGTCATAGAAATATCCCATCACTGGGTTAGGATCACCAATGGAGCTGAGCACCACGCCTGTTTGAAGCACAGAGGGACATCGATGACCAAATCACTGGCGGTGCTCCGAACCTCGTCACATCTACAAAGCTCAGCAAAGAGTTGAGGCTGGCCAGTGCTTCGGATGGGCGAACACCATGCATAACAGGCGTTACAGGTTGCGGTGGGGCTACACGATGGGCGGTAGGGGGCTTTGCGGCAAAATCCGTACTGCCATATGCTCCCCGAGTTCACACTAACCCGCACTGACCAGTGTGGTGAAGCATGGTCAAACTACCCTCCCGGACGTGCATGGCGCAGGGAGGCTGTCATTCAGCAGCGGATTGACAAAGGGCTGTAGTGCACATGTCTATGATGGGCTAAAGCCATTAAAGTTTATACCTTGGGGGTTGCTATTATTGCTGGGCCTAATGCAATTACACTCTGCACCATAATGCCTCATTGTTTACAGTGACACAAGAGGGTGTCATTGGGAATTGGCCAAAGCGCTGTCCACAATTTTATTGGGACATTCCTGTGGTCAGGCCAAACTGTGTGGGGGTCGAACTCATCTCCGCCGGAGGCTCTGAGCTAGTAATGGAAATTCCACATTCCTGTGGCGAGGGCAGATGATTTCGATAGCCACAGTTCAGTTCCAACAAGGCGGTGAACTCCGTACTGATGCCAGAGAGGTCGTGGTTGACAGAATGATGCTCACTCTGCTGCCTCTGATGATTGTAAAGCTAACAATTGCTGGTCATGAATAGGATGAGCATGATGATGGATGCTGGGTGATTATACAATTATACGTAACAGATGTTTTCTTGGGGTTAAATCGCGTAATTATAAAAGTGTCGTTAAACCCGCCACCACCCGGCAGACAATTAGTAAGGGTTGTCACGTAACACAAAATTTGCTAATTACTCGGTTCAGCACACCGGTGTGTTGGAGAGTAAACCCACGACAACATTTACAATTCAAGTACCGTGATGCTTCACCGGAAATTACAACAACCAGCGTCATCAGGCAACAGTCAAAATTCTCCTCCCTTTTCAGGCCTTGCCCAAAAACATGACCTGTGTGCTCCTTTTTGGGGCCGCGGTTGGACGAATGTTGATGCTGGATGACTATTGCACATCGTGACGCTGATAGTGATGACGACGCAGGCTAGACGATTATTTTTTTTTCTCACGGAACGATGACAGTTACTCGATTAGAGGGCACCACGTGGCGAGATGTTAACTGCTTCGCCTGGTATACAGGAGATCTTGGGTTCGATCCCGACCATTGACGCTTGCATATGTGGAGTTTGCGTGTCTCTCTCCCTGTGGCCGAGTGCATTTTTCTCCAGGTTCTCCGGTTTTCCCTCCACATTTAGAAACACATATTTAGAGTATTTAGCTGCTATACAATTCCGCATGATAAGCCACGTCGTTGAGCTATCATTTGGTGGTCAGGTCGCTTCTGAAAAAGAGCTATGTAGCTCAGTGGGCCTGACCTGGTAAATAGTAAAAAAAAAGCTTTTCAATACACACACTTTTATTTGCACTCAAAAGTAGAATTGGATATGCTGAATAAAAGTGGGTGGCTTGCATAAAGAAATTTAAACATATTGAAAGGAAACCACCCACTTTTATTGAGCACATCAAATTAAATTAATTTCCGAGTAAAAATAATGTATTTTCTACTTCTGAGTGCAAATAAAAGTGTGTCCATTGAAAATCTTGTTTATTACCTAATAATATTTTTAGTGTAATTGTTTGTCTCTCATTAAGAGAGTGGAGGGCAGCCACAGCGGCCACTCTGGCGCCATGACGAGCGGCGATAGAAGCGCGCTTCTCATTGGTCATCGCCTGGCAAGTAACAGCTGCTGTGATTGGACCGTCGTGGGTTAGGCGTGACCATTTGTGATGTTTTTTAATGGGGGGGTGGGGGGGTGGTTGGAATTTACGATTATTAATTGTTAGAATGTATAGTTGAAAACACAATTGTTAATTCGTGAAATGTAGATAAAACACGATCATTAATTAGTGAAATGTAGATAAAAACACGATCATTAATTAGTAAAATGTAATTAAAAACACGAATAGCACCACGATGGGCGGGACCTGGGCCGGTTTTTGTTTTTAAAGGAAATCTTGAATTATCACGTGAAGCGACGAGTCTGCGTAGAAAATGTCAGCTCGTTCGGCTTTGTAGATCCGACGATATTGAACGTCAAAGATTCCAAAGAATGTAAACAGAAAATACAAGTTCAATGAAAGTGTGCAATAAACAAAAAATAGTTTAGTTCATAGTTTAGCACGAAAATGGTTAACTCATGAGCAATTGCGTGATAGCATAGCTGTTAACCCGTACTCTTTACACCGTATTCTTGTACAGGGTAATTTAGTTTTCAGGTCCATATGGCGTACAGCCGTTTCAATACGGGCAACAACATTTTTTGGTCTATTTATTTGTGTTCCTCGTGATTGGGAATTCGCAGGATGAAGGTTGAGATTTATAAGGGCACAGGGTGACCAATAATGTCTGAATTGGTCTGTAATAAGGTAGGCACTGATAAGTTATTTACAGGTATGTGATAGGGCACCTGTGATGATTGGTGGCGGTTGTGGAGGCGTTGGTAGCGCATTATGACGCTGGATTACAGATGACGGCTGACAAAAGGATGATGACGACTGCGGCGATGGTGGAAGCCCGACGATGATTGAATGAGTGATTAAAAGTGACGGCGGCCTAAAAAGGTTGATGAATGATCACATTTTATCATTCTCTGACAGCGATGACGATTGGTGGTGTTGTGGCGGTGGCAGCCATTGACGTTGATTATGGCGATTGGTGATCGTGGTGGTAATGGTTGTGGTGGTAGTAATGGGGTAGTGGAGTTGGTGGTGGTGTCAGTGGTGGTGGTGATTGACGTTGATTACGGTGATTTACGGTTGCCTAAAAGGTTGATGAATGATCATAATAGATCATTGTGACAGCGATGATGATGATTGGTGGTATGGTGATGGCGGCGGTGGTAGCGGCGTTTGTGGCGGTGACCGTCACGATGTTGCGCAGTCGACCGACATCTCCCCTCGACCGCCGCAGGCAAACCGCCGGCGACAGCCGCATGCGTGACAACGGCACACGGGCACGCGCGTCCGTCCGCCTCCGTCTGTCCGTCCCCGCGCCCACCGTTTTACCGATCACGATGAAAGGCAGGCCCAGCAGCGTGGAGTTGTACTTCCCCTCCGTGAGGTTGATGATGCCGGCCGTGGTGAGCGTCGACAGGAAAATGGTGACCACTCCCAGCACGCCGAGCCAGGGCCTCGTGCGCACGGGGTCTCGCATGGAGCAGCACACTGCGGCGGCGATGGTGACAGCGGCCGCGCTGGCTATGAGGAAAGGTCTGCTCGCCACGCTGCTCATCTGGAAATCCTGCCTGAGGGACGACGACGTGAAAGCGTGAAACTGAAGGTCGGGCCCGGCGTCTTCACTGCCGCCACCCGTACCGCCGCGGCCGCGGCCGCCGCCGCCGGCGGCAGCGTCGGTGCCGCCGCTCTCCTGCATCTTGTCCAAAGTCCTGCAGAAGGCCTCCTCCCACGAGTCGGCCACGAGCTCGTCGGCGCGGTCGCGCGTGCTCAGGTAGTAGGTGATCTGCAGCGCCTTGGAGGAGCGCACGACTCCCTTGTCGCTGAGCGACACGTTACCCAGCCGGTGGCCCAGGAAGACCTCGCGGCCCGAGCCCAGGCGCGTCGTTGGGTACGTGGGCCTGAAGCCCGCCGCGCTGCGGTTGCCCGACCTGGAGCGCCGCATCTGCTCGAGCACGTCGACGAGCGCATCCTGCAGGCAGCGGCTCGACGCGTCCAGCGTGCAGATGTGCGCGTAGCTGTAGTTGAAGCCGAGGGCGCTCACGCGCATGCCGAGCACGCCGGCGTGCGCCCGCAGGATCGCGTCGACGGCGGGCGCGTCCAGCACGTCGCGCCCGCTCCGCGAGGTCACCACGAGGCGGCCGTAGCGGCCCGGTGAGTGCAGGTCGGTGAACAGCATGTGCCGCGAGCCGTTGATGGGGAAGAGGCTGTCGACGAGACGGCGCTCGTGCTTGGCGAGGCTGTGCTGCGGAGCGAACAGCGACTCCATGCTGCCCTCCACCTCGTAGCGACTCAGGCTGGCGCCGAGCAGGACCGAGAGCAGGAGAGGGGCGCTGGCGAAGAAGACCGGGTGCCGGCTCACGAAGAAGCCCAGGCGATTGAAGCATGTCTTGAGGGTGCAGCGCAGGGTCTGGCGCAGCATATCCCTACGGGGAGCGCGGGGAGGCTCCTGCTGCGGACCCGGCCGTCGGGTGGACCTCCTCCTCCGCCCGCCCGTGTCCTCGCCTCTCCGGCGCTGACATGGGGACGCTTTGTAGCGCCGAGACCACCTTCACGCGCCGTTGGCCGGCGTGCGCATGGCGGTGGAGACGGATGGTGATGACCGTTGATGGAGGAAGTGGAGGTTTACGACGATGATGATGATGATTGATGGTGGAGGTGGCGTTGATGATAATGGTGATTGATGGTTGTCGGAAGTGGTGGAGGTGGATGAACATGATTGGTGGTGGAAGTGGAGTTGGTTGTTGATTGATGGTGGAGGGGACATTCGTGATAGTGGTCACGGAGGTGGTTGATGATGGTGGTGATTAATGGAGGTGGTTGATTATGATTGATGGTTGAAGTAGAGGATAATGATTGTTTGTGGAGGTAATAATGGCAGTTGATAATAGTGGTGATTACATGCTCATGATAGAAGTTGTGGTGGTGTTGATGTTTGTGGTGGTTTTGTTGGTGGTGATAAGGATAATGGTTGAGGAGACATTGATGTTTGGTGGTGTTATGAAGACGATTATAATGGGAGTGGAGGTTGATAGTGATTATGATTGGCGGTGGAGATTAATGATGATTTAACACGTAGGCAAAAACCATTATTATGAATTAATGATGATGATTATTTGTGTTGGAGGTGGATGATTAAAATTGATAGCGATTGGTGATGGCAGTGGAGTTTGATAATGGTTGATTGTGGAGATTAATGATGATAATGATGATTGATAACAGTGATTGGTGGGGTCGATGATAATTGATAATGAACATGACAAAGGGGATTTAATGTCCACGGTGGCAGTTGTGGTATTGGAGGTTGATAATGATAATTGATGATTATCGCATAGTGGTAGTGGTGGTGTTGATGTTTGTGGTGGGTATGATGATGGTGTTTGTGGTGGTAGTGGTGGTAATGGTGGTGATTTTTTTGGATTGAATAATGATGATCGTCGTGGTGGAAATATTGGTATATGTCGTAGTAATGATGGTTGGTGACGATGGTGGTGGTGGTGGTGTTGGTGGTGATCGATTGGTGATGGTGCAGATAGTTTATTGCCAGAAATGATTGTAATGACGGTTATTTATGATGTTTGGTGGTATTGGTGGTGGTATTGGTGGCAGCGTTGGAATCATGGTGATGGTGGAGATTATTAAAAAAGAGACACCAGGACAACCACAATAAATAAAAGGATGAAAATGATCATTGACCAAAGATGTCCATTCAACAAGGAGATGATTACGATGATAGAATGATCAAAACGTGTGACATCAGGAATTGTGATGATGCCAGTAATTCAATGATGAAAGTAGAGAGGGTGAGATGATACATGGGGCAGACAGGATATTGGCGATGAAGTGCGACAAAATATAACGCTTAATCTCTCGCGAATTATATAAAGGGAACAACGATTTATATATAAATCACTCAGACGTACATGCATTTCCATATGTACACACACATACAAACATTATGTACAGACAGACACACATAAAGACAAAAGTCCCCCGTAATACCTTCAACAGACTGCTGGGGAAAGTGCTGTCCGTGAGCACCTATTAAGGCCTCGACGCCACGCGATAGGGGGTGGATGGCCAGCAACTACGCTTGGCCGCCTTTGTATCTCTCGTGCTGATTACACACGCTCAATTGAAGGCTGAGGCGACCTAGGCGAGGGATCTGGACCCGCTACAAATATTTGCTGCCACTGTTATTGGGGTCGCCTAGCGCAGTGCACTGACGAGAGAGCCACCGCTCCCCAGGCAGAGACTCACGCAGAGACAAAGATCCCGCCCACCCCACCACCTAGACAGACTTTTTGGGGAAAGTGTTGTCAGCCAGCACTCATGAAGGCCGGGGTAAGTACCACGCTCGACCGCCTTTGTCTCCCCAGTGGCGAGGTTTACACAGCGCGCCAGGTACTCATTTGAGGCTGAGTCGACCTAGGGGAGGTCCATATAATCGCCACTGTTGGCCGTAGCGCAGCGGGCTAACCGATACGCCACCGCGCCCCGCAGACTGACACACAAAGACAAAGACCCCCCGTGTAGCCTTAACAGACTATTGGGGCAAGTGCTGTTAGCGAGCACCTATGAAGGCCGGCACGGTACACGAAAAGGTGGATGGCCAGCACCACACCCAGCCGCCTTTGTCTCCCCAGTGGAAATGTTTACACGGCGCACCAGGTACTCATTTGAGGCTGAGTCGACCTAGGGGACACCCAGGGCCGATTCAGATAATCGTCACCGCTGTTGACCGTCAGCGGGAATTGAACTCGGATCGCCAGGTTCGTAGCACAGCGCACTAATCACTACACTACCGCTCCCCACAGACACAAGAGACGCAGACTCGCACACACAGACAGACACACGCACACACACAGACTCGGACACACAGACACACGCACACACAGACTCGCACAGACACACGCACACACACAGACACACGCACACACACAGACTCGGACACACAGACACACGCACACACACAGACACACGCACACACACAGACACACGCACACACACGCACACACCACACACACAGACACACGCACACACACAGACACGCACACACACAGACACACGCACACACACAGACACACGCACACACACGCACACACCACACACACAGACCCACGCACACACACACACCACACGCACACACAGGCTCGCACAGACACACGCACACACACGCACACACCACACAGACACACGCACACACAGGCTCGCACAGACACACGCACAGACACACGCACACATACAGACACACACAGACACACGCACACACACAGACACACACAGACACACGCAGACACACACACACCACACACACAGACACACTGACACACAGACACACGCACACACACACACCACACACACGCCACATGCACGGCTCCCATCGTCGACGTATATTCACGATCCTATTCCGCGTGTGCAAGTGGCGGCATTACAGTGAGGGAAAAAAGTATTTGATCCCCTGCTGATTTTGTACGTTTGCCCACTGACAAAGAAATGATCAGTCTATAATTTTAATGGTAGGTTTATTTGAACAGTGAGAGACAGAATAACAACAACAAAATCCAGAAAAACGCATGTCAAAAATGTTATAACTTGATTTGCATTTTAATGAGGGAAATAAGTATTTGACCCCCTCTCAATAAGAAAGATTTCTGGCTCCCAGGTATCTTTTATACAGGTAACGAGCTGAGATTAGGAGCACACTCTTAAGGGAGTGCTCCTAATCTCAGCTGGTTACCTGATAAAAGGCACCTGTCCACAGAAGCAATCAATCAGATTCCAAACTCTCCACCATGGCCAAGACCAAAGAGCTCTCCAAGGATGTCAGGGACAAGATTGTAGACCTACACAAGGCTGGAATGGGCTACAAGACCATTGCCAAGCAGCTTGGTGAGAAGGTAACAACAGTTGGTGCGATTATTCGCAAATGGAAGAAACAAAAGAACTGTCAATCTCCCTTGGCCTAGGGCTCCATGCAAGATCTCACCTCGTGGAGTTGCAATGATCATGAGAACGGTGAGGAATCAGCCCAGAACTACATGGAAGGATCTTGTCAATGATCTCAAGGCAGCTGGGACCATAGTCACCAAGAAAACAATTGGTAACACTACGCCGTGAAGGACTGAAATCCTGCAGCGCCCACAAGGTCTCCCTGCTCAAGAAAGCACATATACATGCCCGTCTGAAGTTTGCCAATGAACATCTGAATGATTCAGAGGACAACTGAGTGAAAGTGTTGTGGTCAGATGAGACCAAATGGAGCTCTTTGGCATCAACTCAACTCGCCGTGTTTGGAGGAGGAGGAATGCTGCCTATGACCCCAAGAACACCATCCCCACCGTCAAACATGGAGGTGGAAACATGCTTTGGGGGTGTTTTTTTCTGCTAAGGGGACAGGACAACTTCACCGCATCAAAGGGACGATGGAAGGGGCCATGTACCGTCAAATATTGGGTAAGAACCTCCTTCCTTCAGCCAGAGCATTGAAAATGGGTCGTGGATGGGTATTCCAGCATGACAATGACCCAAAACATACGGCCAAGACAACAAAGGAGTGGCTCAAGAAGAAGCACATTAAGGTCCTGGAGTGGCCTAGCCAGTCTCCAGACCTTAATCCCAAAGAAAATCTGTGGAGGGAGCTGAAGGTTCGAGTTGCCAAACGTCAGCCTTAATGACTTGGAGCAGATCTGCAAAGAGGAGTGGGACAAAATCCCTCCTGAGTTGTGTGCAAACCTGGTGGCCAACTACAAGAAACTTCTGACCTCTGTGATTGCCAACAAGGGTTTTGCCACCAAGTACTAAGTCATGTTTTGCAGAGGGGTCAAATACTTATTTCCCTCATTAAAATGCAAATACATTTCTAACATTTTTGACATGCGTTTTTCTGGATTTTTTTGTTGTTATTCTGTCTCCCACTGTTCAAATAAACCTACCATTAAAATTATAGACTGATCATTTCTTTGTCAGTGGGCAAACGTACAAAATCAGCAGGGGATCAAATACTTTTCTCTCACTGTACGTGTTCACATAGCCAGCGGACACACTGTGTGTGTGTCACGACGTATAACTCGTGTTAATAACTTGTGCATTTAGGTTATTTGTTTAAAATTCTGGCGAGAAAGGTTGAAGCGATAATTCAGATCATGCGTGCAGGGCTGTAATACGCAACGTGCACAGATGTATTCGTGCAGTGCGTAATGTATGTTAATAATGTGTGTGTGTGTGTTCAGCATTAGGTTTAGGCTCATTTAGATATCAAGGGTATGATTGTGCGTGTGTGTCACTCTCGGGACGCGGTAGTGTAGCGGCTAACGCGCTGCGCTACAAACCCGACGACCCGAGTTCGATTCAACACCAGTGGCGATTATTTGAACCGGTCCCTGGGCCTCCCCTAGGTCGACTCAGCCTCAAATTACAACCTGGTGCAGTGTGTAAACATCGCCACCGGAGAGACAAAGGCGGCCGGGCATGGTGTTGGCCACCCACCCCCTCGTGTGCCGTGCCGGCCTTCATAGGCGCTCGCAAACAGCACTTGTCCCAACAGTGTGTTAAGGCTACACGGGGGATCTTTGTCTGTGTGTGTCACTAAACAACGCATGTCCATACGCATTTCCCCGTGTGTCTATGTGCATCGATTGATAACGCCGGTTAAATCCGTGTTAAAGCAATGGGCTCTATGATTGTGGTATACTGCTTTTATGTACGTGTACATACCAGCGTGTGCGTGTGCAGAGTTGTGTATTCCATTGCATACATCCGCATCGGCCATGTTCAATCCGCTGCTGGATGAAGGCCTCCCAAGCCATGCACAAGGCACGTGTGAATTCCACACGTGTGTTCGTGTGTGTAGTGAAATGTGTGTGTGTGTGCTTTAGTTGTGCCATTGTACGTGTGTGTCATTGTGTATATGTGCTTCTGCGTATGTATGGTCCACGGACGAAGAGCGCTATGCAAGTCCGATGTATTATGAATACACCGCAGTATACAATAGTGTATGTAATTGTGCGTGTGTGTGTGTGTGCGTCTGTTTGCATGTGCACACTTTGCGCAATGCACGCGCGTCGTTGTGTCTACGCGCTGCACGTTGTGTGTATTTCCATTCACACGTATCTGCAGCAGGCAGCGGCGGCGTATGTGTACGTACCTTCAGCTGTTGGTAGTTATTGATATGCAGTGCATGTGTCTTGTACCGGTTGTGTCTGTGTCTGTAGCGGTGGGGGAGCGGTGGCGCGGCGATTAGCGCGATGCGCTAAGAAATGAACCCCCCCCCCTGGCCACCCGAGTTTAATTCCCGTTCAGGGTCACCAACACCAGGTGACGATTATCTGAAGCCGGCCCACTAAGTCGGCTCGGCCTCAGACGAGTACCTGGCGCGGTGTGTAAAAAAAACAACAACCCATCGCCACTGGGGAGACAAAGGCGGCCAGGCGTGGTGCTGGCCACCCAACAGCCCACCGTGCACCGTGCCGGCCTTCATAGGTGCTCGCTAACAGCCCCAACAGTCTGTGCAGGCTGTACGGGGGATCTTTGTCTTTATCTGTGCGTGGCTGTACATCTATATATATTATTGTGTATGCGTGCACGGCCGTATTAATGGATCATTTACACACGCACAGCCGAACAACCGGTATATTGATATGCAGTGCATGTGTATGTACCAGATGCATGCATATCTATGCACCTATGTGGTCACATACGTGTGTGCGTGGCTATGTGTGTGTGTGTGTTCTGCTTCAGACTGTGTAGGATGTGTGTACGAGATGTGTACGATGTGTGTACGATGTGTGTGGACGATCGACTCACGGTTATTCTGTCGCTACACGCAGCCGCGCCTGGCTTGTGTAGTCGCGTCTCGGGTGTAAGTCATGCCAGGATTTGCGTAGAGCCACAAGCTTCTCTCTCTCCTTTCTCGCCGGGTTTCCCCTGCGTTCTCTCAACCCCGCCTCTACAGCAGCTCCCCCCCCTCTCTCTCTCCCTCGTCTCGCTCTCTCCCTCCTCTTTGCATCATCCCTCCCTCCCTCCTATCCCCTTTCTCCCTCTTGTCTCTGCATAGTCACCCCATCCTCCCTCTCTCATTTCCATCCTTTATCACCCATCTCGTCCTCTCCTCTCTCCCCCTCCTCCTTACATCATCTTCTGCTCAATCCTCCTCTGGCCTGTTTCTCCCCTGCTCTCTCTCTCTCTTGTCTTCTCGTCCAACCTTTATCGCCAATCTCTCTCCTCTCTCCCCCTCCTCCTTGCATCATCTCATTCCTCCCTTCCTTTCCCACGCCTCTTTCTCTCTACCTCTCCTATCTCTTTCCACGCGCTCTTTTCTCTCCCTCCTCTATCACCACTCTCTGCTCTCTTTCCCATCTCTGTCTCTCGTATTTGCATCATTTATCCCTCCACATCCTCTCTCCCATCTACCCCTCTGCTCTCCTCTCTCCCATTTTTATCCGTTCTCAATCTCCTATCTCTCCTCTATCCTCCTTCCCCTTTCCATGCTTTGCATAATCTCTCTCTCCCTCCCTCTCACCTCTTTCTCCCACCTCCCCTCTCTCTGCACTCTCCATGCCCACCGATTTCTCTTTCCACATCTTTCCTCTTTATCTCTCTTCGAAATCTCCCCTCTCTTTATATTTACTTTCTTATCACTTCACCAATCTCCCCCCCGCAACCCCTCTCAGAATCCAATCACTCCCTCTCTCCCAGGCTTTCTCCTCTCTCATCTCCATCAATCAATGACACACATATTCTTAGCTCTTTCGGTAAAGTCACGTTGAAGGGAAACAATAAAAAAATAAAAAATATATAAAACAATAAAAATTCTCACCACGTTTCGACCATAACACAAACGGTCGTCATCAGGTGTGTCGGTTTGCAAACATGCAAACCGACACACCTGTTTAATATATATTATTATTTTATTGTTTCCCTTCAACGTGACTTTACCGAAAGAGCTAAGAATATGAATTACTGCAGTCACGAAAGCTTTAAATCAAAATGACACACATGTTGCACGGCTTGATAAATGGCATTTACATGACGGATACACGCATTAAGCAAATTACACTCTTGTGACGTACGTCACCCGTACATTGGCGAGGACACGCACACCTCAATGTTCGGGGTTCGCAGGTTCGAATCCAGCGAAACCCCCCCCCCCCCCCCCCCATTAGTACTGCGGTGTACATGACGAGGGCCCTGGGCCACCCCCTGTAACCCAGCACTGTGGAGGCGAGGATTGGTCGATCACGCGAAGATTTCCTCCTCGCACGGATGCTCCCGTTTCCTCCCACGTGCATAATAAGCACTCACGAAATTGGCCGAAAACATCTTAATATGTAGAGAAGTGCAGAGCGATTGTTCTGCGGCTCCTGCTCACCGCCCGGCAGCCTTCCAGCTTGGTTTGTGGTTCCTGTTCGGCGATTGTGAGATGCAATTTGCATGAAAGACGCCGCTATAATTAATCATGTTTTCTTAGATTACAATAACCACAATAATGCTACGACGGGCTGGCTGCTTCACTCCCAGTGGACATTAAAGATTCCCTATGACGTGATCCGCAAGATTAAGCCATTGTGTGCCAGCGTCAGAGTTCACATTTTCCAAAACACACACACGCACAGTAAACTGTGTTTATTTTTCCAGGTAAAGCCCACCGAGCCACGTGACATGTTTTTCCCAGCAGTGACCTGGCCGCAAATGATAGCTCAACGAAGCGGCTTTTATCATCGTGTGGAAATTTACAGCAGCCAAATTACTTTCAACGTGTTTATTAATTGGGGGGGGGGGACCGGGAGGACCCGGAGAAAAATCCACGCGACCACGGGGAGAGAGAGACACGCAGACTCCAAATATTCAGCAGCAGCAGGCGTCAGGGTCAGGATGGAGCCCACGACCTCCTGTACACCAGGCGAGGTAGTTAACATCTCCTAGCCACCGTGATGATGATGATGAGAGACACACGCATACTCCAAATATACAGCAGGAGGCGTCAGGGTCAGGATCGAACCCACGGCCTCCTGTACACCAGGCGAGGTAGTTAACATCTCCTGGCCACCGTGATGATGATGAGAGAGAGCCACGCAGACTCCAAATATACAGCAGCAACAGGCGTCAGGGTCGGGATCGAATCCACGACTTCCTGTATACCAGGCGAGGTAGTTAACATCTCCTAGCCACCGTGGCATAGAGCAGCAATCATCGCCTCCTGCCGGGAAACTAATGCTCCAGGTCACTCTTGACTCATCCTGAGTTCTGACCTGGTTAAACTAAATAAACTTTACACATGAGGACACATACATGCATAACATATTTGACACATAACACATTAGTCACATACACGCTAACGAATGGCCGACTTTACATGACAGATTACAACACCCATCCTTTGGCAGAGTATGACAGTTTACACACATTAGTTTGCATATCCATAAAGGCTGCTTTTTAGCCCGCCAAGTAACGTACAATTATTCCATTTTCTCTATCCGCTCCTAAAAAAGAACGAAACGTATATACGAAACACGTGGGCTTTCGCGACCAACATTATTCATGATAAAGGTGTTTGGGTTAGATCGCGTAAATATAAACGTGTCGTAACCCTCCACCACCCGACAGAGCCAGTAAGGGTTGTCACGTGAACATAACGCGCCCATTAGTTACTGCACCCATTGCCTGAAGTAGGAAACTAATTGGCGCGTTTGTTTACGTACACAAACCTTATTGGCTATGTCGGGTGGTGGAGGGTCACGACACATTAACACTTACAGCGATCGAACCCAAAGAACATTTTATCATGAGCATATATACGAATCGTAAAAATTCCGTCGCGAATTTTGTTTGAAGGGTGTTTGACAACCGTGCGTTGAGCAAGTTCGTCATCATCCCATCTCGTGCGATGAACGTGGCGCTCACAAAGTGCAAGGGAGTCGTCAAATCTTCCATGTGGCGGGGGAAAAACAACGTTCTCTTTCATCATCATTATTATTAACTTTCTCTTTGTCGGCGTTCGGTTCAATCGTCGCGGGAAGTCTGTTCCCGGTGAGATTTGTCCGAATTTCTGGCTGGGCGACAAAGCACGGAGGATCTCGCTCGAGCCACGCCGACCAGCGCGGTGAAGTATGGTCAAACCGACGTGACGCCGGGGAAGACCGCACGGCGGCTGGCTGGTGAACGCAGGGGGGTGGGGGTGGGGGGGGCGACTGCCCACCCCGACTCACCTGTCCATCCACGTGAGACCCTGAACCTTTATATTTTGCTGATATTTACCGGAGATAATACATTAAATGTTTTGTCATTCCACTATTATTTCTAGGGGACCTTTTTTAGGCCAGTTCAGTATCCAAAATGATGTAAAATAAGATTATATTGTACTCCTTTTGGCGTTCTCTGGTCTGACACCGGTGCGACAAGGCCAATCCGTTTCAAAGACAATGCGCGCGTTATTATCACGCCACTGTTTGTTTGCATGTTTTTGCCACAATTACGTGTGGTTAATGTCGACTTGATGCCTTGCAAAATGTATCCATTTGATGTTTGAACATCTTAACACCTATGTTATTGACAGAAAGGGTAAAACTTATTCTTATTTTTCATCATTCTCGTATTATTATTATTGGAGGGCTCTGTAAAAAAAAGAATCTTAACATGTGGGGGACCGCTGCCCTGCCTTACCCCGTGTGTGTACGTATGCACGTGTGTATGTTGAACTTCTTTCGAACGGTACGTAGCCAAACGTGCTAATCGTAGTTTGCGACCTGGGGAAGTTTCACAATCTTGGGGGTTTATTTTTTGTTCCACCTCTCTACAAATATTTGAAAATAATGACAGTTGAACACACAACAGCTGATATTGCCTAAATGTTGTTACACGCACTTTGAAATAATGATAATGCGTATACGTGCATACACGATAAAGGTGCCCGTATGGCTTGAACAGGCTTTTGGTGCAAGTGCTGTTAGCGAGCACCTATGAAGGCCGGCACGGCACACGAGGGTTGGGAGGCAGAACACCACGCCCGACCGCCTTTGTCTCCCCAGTGGCGATGTTCACACATCGTAGCAGGTACTCATTTGAGGCTGAGTCGACCTAGGGGAGGCCCACGCGATCGGTTCAGACGGCTTCGTAGCGCAGCGTAGCGCTAACTGCTGCACCACCACTCCACTCGTGCATACAGACCCAAGTCTTTGCCCAGTACACGGATCTTGAGCCCGTGCAGTCTTAATGGGCTATGGCACATGGAGTAGAGTGTGTACGTCTCGCACATTCATACTTTCTTCGGCGATGTACTTAAGGATTTCCAATTGTCTAATTGCCTTCTTGCAACATTGATGTGCTCGCCACTTCACCGAATGCATCTTTAGAGTGCATGAATACCTCATGCACAATCACGGTCCTTTTAATCATTGGTTGGAGAGGCAGGCAGCGGACGAAAATGTTCATTGCAAGACAAAAAAAAGATGTAATTATTATTACTCTAGCCCGATTTTTCACGGGATGGATTCGCTGTGTTTTGCGGCGGCAGGTGATGAGAATTCTCGGAGGAAGAAATTGCGCGCGATGATGCAGAACCTCGTTTAACGTCGGGGATCCATCTGTTACTGGAATTAAAATACAATTTTTTAAAATATAATTTAAGAAAAGTCGTGGTCATGGTTTTTTTTCCTCTGTCCAGGGACCTCTGCGTGTGCTGCCATGGTAACCGACGATCACACAAGGCCGAGCGTGAGCAGCGCTGGCCCTGCCTCAGGCTTTCAGCGAATACCGGAAAGTGCTCGCTTAACGCGCGTGTTCACACAACGAGTTTTCACTCTAACGCGGTTCTTAAACGAGAGACGTGTTCGCACAACGCGGAACGCGCCCCATTATAACGCTCCCATTATAACGTGGAACGCACTCCCGTTATAACGTAGAATTCGCTCCCATTACAACGTGGAACGCACTCCCGTTATGACGTGGAACGCACTCCCGTTATAACGTGGA